TTATTTAGGACTTTAAAACACTTTTATCCTTTTAAATACTCCGTAATGTCTTAGTTTATGTAGTAGAATGCAATGATCTACTGTACGCTTTTGATAAATCATAGTCCTAATATACAATCCCTTTTGATAAATCATGTTACTCCTGAAGTAAATTAATTTTTTTCGAAACCATTATTTGGTTTACTATTTAAATAATTGCATGCTCATTCAAAGAATTTTTATGAAAATCTAACTGGTTTGGGTAAAAAAAAAAATGTTTTTAATGAAGTAATCATAGATTCGATTTTAAACTATACGTTCGAAAAATTTCGGAAATTTAGAAAGTATTGATATAGATCTGGCAAAATGATCATTACATTTGTAAAATGCTGATTTAATTACATCCTGAAAATTAAGTATATGAATCAGAGCTCTGTCAAGACTTTGCTTGTTTGTATTATATACTTTGTATATTGTCTATAACAATGCAATATTGTAATAATGTATTATTGTTTGTAAGAATGCTTTTTTTATTTTAAAAAGTTAGTTTTAAAATAGTTTAATTAATCCAATTTGTTTAAATTTCAATAGTATTGAACTATTTTTTTATGGGAGGAAAAGAAGACATATTATTAAATTATTCTTTTTAAATGTATTTAAATGCTTTTAAAAAATGATGTAATCGTGTCAATAGAAAAACCTTAAAAGCCAGTGAAAAATTCTTCGACCACATAAACTGATAGACACGCCTTACTAGTAAAATTTTTCGGAAAATTTACCGGAAAATTTTCCGGTAAATTTACCGGAAAATTTTCCGGTAAATTTACCGGAAATTTTTGAAAATTTACTGCCTGGTAACTTATTATATTTTTTTTTTGTTCTTTTAATTTTTTAAAGGAAAATTTACTGTTCTCTATTTAAAATTTACCGGTAAATTTACTGGTAAATTTTACCGGTAAATTTTGAATCAAATTTTACTGGAAAATTTACATCACTACGCCTTACCGCAAGTTAATACTCACAAAATGTTGAAGTTAACATCTTTTAGCGCGTGACGTCACGTTTGGGCAATAAACAACTTATAATATCGGTTTAGGGCAAAAATAGCTTAATGTACTTAACACTTTTAAAGTTTTAATATTTGTTATGTATACTATTTTGTTTAAATTTTGATTTTTAAATAGAATATAGGTATATAAAGATCATGATTTTATCTTGTTCTGCATATAATTGCACTCAAAGATATACTAAAGGGGTTTCTTTTACATAAAGATTTCGTTAACAAAAGAAATATAAAAATAAATATAACAATAAAAATTAGGAATAAAGAATGCGGAAACTCGAAGAAGTTCTTGAGGTCTTGTCGTTGAGAACCGCCGGAACCAAAACGCTTTAAATGAATTTATTTTTATTGATTTTTTGTAAATGTTTATTCGCTTTTGAATTGGATCTGTTTCGATAAATAATTATATAAACCGTTGCAAAGAATAGTTAAAAATAATTAATATACTTCATTATATTTATTGATGTGTTTGATGACGTCATGTGTGTTGGTGATGTTAATATAAATCGAATAGATTTAAAAAGATAATAACAATTGAATTGAACATTTCTTGCATTAAAGTTGTAGAAAATAAAATCAGGGTGGGGTGGACATTCTTGTTGATAATTAGCTCTTGTTCTAATATAGTTTTTTTATATATTGTGTTTGCATATTTACCATACAACCAATCATAGGTGGTATCACCAAATCCTAATCCAGCCCAACGATTGCCAAGCAGTTTTAGTTGGGTGTTCCTACGCCAGAGGGTGTTTAGTTGCGTGTTTTCATGTGTAAGTAGCTACAAATCATTCTTTGTTAAGATCCTACCTTATATTTCAAATAAAAATAGCATATTATTTTAATATGCCTATTTTTATTGGTAGTTTTCTGAAAGATCTGAAATTGAGGAGAAAATGGATACAAGTTATGCGGAGGGATGGTTTTACTCCTAGTAAACTGTCTAAACTTTGTGGTAAACACTTCACTGTCAGTGACACTGGTATGAAGGAAGTCTTTGGAATTCACAAAAGAAACTTAAAAAAGATGCAATCTATATTTGGTTTTCCAACACTTTTATGAAAAAGTAATTATCCTAGAAAACTACGAAAAAAATAGACAGTATTATTTCAAATAATACCACCAATGAATCAATACAATAAGTCTAATGTAACTAATCTTTTTTCAATGAAGTATTAATTGATTCAATGAAGTATTGATTTAAAACTTTTAACCTTTAAAAAAAGTACATAAAATTGAAGTATTAAAAGATTTCATTCTTTATTTTTATGAATTTTTGTTTTCAGCTTCATACATACCAACAAGTATGTTTTCTTATTGACTTTGTAGAATTTTGCACATAACCATGGTTTATTTTTACAACATGTGGTTTATTGTCATAGCAATTTTTACATACAGTTTTTCAATAATTAGCCTTAAAGTTAGACACAATTTCAAGTCTTTGGGCTTGAAAATGTTTGCCTAGGCCTTGAAACTCCTATTCTTAACCTTGACCTTAAAACTCTTGGCCTTGGCCCTGTAACTTTTTGCATTGGTTTTGGCCTTAGCCTTGTAACATGCAGACTTGGCCTTGTCTTTCGCCTCGCTACTTTTCGCCTTGTTAACAACCTTGCTTTAACATTAAATTTTTTTTCTGCTAAAGCATATAGTTATGTTAGGAAAACATTTAATAATGCACTACTTCATCCAGGAATTATACAAAAATGGAATGAAAGCGCTGACTGTTTCCCTGGATTTTGTAAGAAGCTTTAGTTACTCTTCATAGCCAAATAAAAGAGGCTCAGAAAATTGGTCAACGTGTTGTGTGTTTATTTAAGTTAGATGAAATTGCGATTTGAAAAAAAATTGAATGGACAGGCCATAAATTTTCTGGTTATATTGATTTTTGTGCTGATATCAATAATGATAATTAACCCAAAACAAAAGAAGTTTTAGTTTTTATGGTAAACTGAACGTTGGAAACTTCCTGTTATATATTTTTTAATTGATGGTTTAGGTGATTGTGAAAAAGCTAATACTGTTAAGCGTTGTCTTCAATTTATTTATGAAAGTGGTGCTGAAATTATATTATTATTGCTAAATATTTAAAGATAAGATTGTACCATAAAGCTGACTCGATCAACAATTTACTACATAATAGACGTATACAAAGTGTATTAACAAAACAAATTTTATTTTCGAATCAATAAAAAGTTTTTTTGTATATTAATGTAATGGATAATAAAACACATTAAATTGTATTAACTGTTACGTTTTCTATTCTAAGAAATCAAAAAATGCATTAAAATAATAATTGATACAAACAATAAATTTAATATTTTAAAAAATAATAATAATAATAAGGTTTACTAGAAAATTTTACATTTAACGAAAAGTTTTCTATTCTGGGGCTTTATTTCGTTTGTATCGCGTTTTGTTTTGCCCAAACGTGACGTCACACGCTAAAAGATGTTGGCTTCAAAATATTTAACTTACGGCGTGTCTATCAGTTTATTTGTGGAGTTTCTAAAACGCCGAATTCTAAAAAGCCGAAACGCCGAAATGCCGAGAAACCTTCCTATGAGAAACTGAATAAAAAACGGAATGAAAGCAATGAAAAACCGGTAGCCGCATTAATTTTTAAGTTGTTGTTTTGAATTCTATTAAAAAAATTCAAAACATGTAAAATTAAGTTTACAATTTTTACGCAAATCCTCTCCATACTACTACCAATGATATATAAATATCATTGACTACTACTAAATATAAAATTAGCAAACAAATTTAAAAATAATTTTTATAAACATTATTTTTTATTTCGTCTCTTTTTCCGTTATTATTCGCAAAAGTTTAAAAGGACAGAAGCAAAAGCCAAGTTTGGCTTTTTCTTCTGTCTCGCATTCGCAAATGCGCAATAAAAAATCCGGGGGATGCTTAACTTTTCGTTGTCTTTTTTTACGGTTACCGCAGGTCTACTAATACGCCATTTTTTTCGGCATTTCGGCTTTTTGGCGTTTTAGAACTCGGCTATTTAGGCAGTCCCGTTTATTTGGTCGGAGGAAAAATTATAAGAACCATTTTTAGATTCTAGGTATTTTCACGCTCGTGTACTTACAGTACAACAGGTTGTTAGGTGTAGTTACAGTACAACAGGTTGTTACGTGTACTTACAGTACAACAAGTTAGATACAGGTAGTCAATTTTAAAGGATTACTAAATAATAAATATAAATAGTTTTTTTTTAGTTGATGACAGAAATTGCAGAATGAAATTGGTAACATTCTTTACGCCCAGGATTTAACAAAAAGACGTTTAAAGGACTAATGGCAAAGTCTAGAAAATATGTAGACGAAAAAAACAAATTTTTATTCAACTTGGGTGTTAATTTATAAATAATAAAAAAAAATACAAACTTATAAAACATATGTATATATATATATATATATATATATATATATATATATATATATATATATATATATATTATAAACATGTTACGCATATGCTTTATATAAATAAAGTCTTGGCTTATATATATTACAAAATATTTATTATGTATATATAATATATTATTTTTAGTCTATACTATCTTAATATTTTTAATATAATATACAGCAAAATAACTATACAAAATTAAGTTGATGATGATTAAAAAATTGTAAAATTACGCTGTGCTTTATAAACGAATTATTTCAGAAACCCATCAAGTAACATTTTTTTTAAAAATTATATTATTATAGATTATGAATGAACAACTTTAGTCACACCGTCATATGCAGAAACACGTGAACTATCGGCCTTTCAATGGGTTGCATTTTGTACTGAAATTTACGTTTAATGCAAAAAACTTTGATAAGAAATTTTTTTAGTTTTCCGAAAATTTGAAAAAACGCGCTTGACGGGTTTCTGAAATAAACGATTCAAATCTATATATGAAAAAACAAACAAACAAAAAAAAACACTGCTAGATCCATTTTTTTTGTGTGTGGTTATTTTAGGTGTTTCCAGAAGTCTATAAGGTCTTATCGCAGAGCACCGCGGGAGAGCATTTAACAGGAAGTTCACGCTTCCTTCGGTACCAATGTCGTATGTTGGGCTGGACCTAGCGTCGATCCTAGGACCTCTGGGTTCTGAGCCAGAACTCTAACTACTGCGCCACGGCTGCTCTCTGCATTTTACTAAATTTATTTTGAAATTTGAAATATTTTGTTTTAATCTAGTTTTTTTTTAATATAAAGACAATTAAAAAAAAAACAACAATCAAATGCATCTAAAATAGTTTTTACATTTTGAGTTGGCAGCAGAAACCGGATTTTATTGTTAAAAGAACAAAGTCTTATTATTAAATTCTATTTTCAATTATTTGAAAAAGCCAATTTTGCGATAAGCATTTCTTTTGCTGCTCAGAACCTTTATGTTGTTTTGTTGCATTTTGAGCTTTTTTTGCATATATAGATTTAATTTTGAAAAATATTTTCGTTTTGTGTATTCGCTCAAGAAATCAAAATATACTTATTTGCGCTAAATCGTGGATACATCTCGCAAAGATTTGTGAAAAAATGATACTTTAAACGGTTACTGAGGCAATAAATTTTTTTGTAGTTAATTTGTTGAACCATATCTCGTAGGAGGGGGTTGAGATAATAACATTGGGTTTACTGGTTGTTGATCAACAACTGAAGAAATCTGATTAGAAACTGGTAAACCATTTATTTGTGGCTAAAACAATTAAAATAATTAGTAACGAGCTTGAAATAAAAATAAAAAAAAAACCCTTCAAAAAATTCATACCTGCTGCATATTATTAAACGCATAAACTGGTATGTAATTCAAGTTACCAAAAGAGTGGGTATCATTTCCATCAATTATATTTGTTGCAGTAGCTCCGACCATAGGAACATATAAGGGTTGACTCATTTGTGGGTAACCCATAAAACCACCTAATAATAAAAAATTACTTAAAAATTTATTTCAAGCTATTATAATAATTACACATTATGAAAGACCCGAATATCGTTTACTGAAACGAAAATTAGTTAAATTGTTTTTTTTATTACGCCATATCATTCTCTAGCATTCTATAAATGTATACTTTTTCATAACATAATCATAGCAGAATTCTTAAGTTATCATTTAAACTATGTAATAAATTTTCAGCATAAGCATAAAACACAGACATATTTTACCAGTAAGAACTGCAAAAGAACTTTAGAAGATAAGAAAAATTTATATCAGTTTATACTCACTAACGATGTTTTAGGAAGACATATATTTCATTTTAGTTAGTCATTCTCTAGTATTCTCACAGATTCAACTTAATAAAAAAGGAACAACTTAATAAAAAAAGGAACAAAATGTAAAAGTAACAGGCTAGAAAATATACCATTTTTTTTTAAATTTCAAAAAAATCACAACTTAATTTTTTTGTTATATAATTTATATATTGCTACATACCAGGCTTGTGGAGGCAAGCCGTAGCCGGAGCCGTGGAGCCGGATAGCCGCTGTTTTTTGGTGGAGCCGGAGCCGCAAAAATCGAACGGCTCTCGGCTCTCGTGTTTGTTTTAACGGAATAGAATGTATGTTTTTTTTACTGTAGACAAACTTTATTCATTTATTGTTGAACTAATTTATTGAATGAATTATTTATTGAACTTCTATTTTTTGAAAATATTTTTTTCTAACAGTTACGGTTATACCAAAACTTAATAAAAATGAATATTTTAACGATTTTGTGCTCAACAATATACTATCCTATAATAAAACTTCTAAATATTCTTTATTAAAAAAAAAGTAAATTATAAATGGAAACATAATTATTAAAAAGAAAGTAAATTATAAATGGAAACACTGTAATGTTAATACAGTGTATTAACATTACAGTGTATGGAAACATTGCACGTATTGCTTTATATTATATTTTTATACTGATACTATGCTGTTAAATATTTAATACGCGATTTAATGATCAAAGGTTTTTCAGATCTTTAAAATTAAACTAAGGCATGCGATCGTTCAATTTGAAACGATAAATTTCGTTTAAAACTTGTCACTAACACATTATTAAATTATTTTTTTCGCGTAATTACATAAAGTAGTTATGGTATTAATTAAAAACATCAACAAACGAATCTAAATGTTTTTCTTAATTAAAATGTCATTGAAACATTTAGAAAAACGACTATTTACAACTATTTACAAAGTCCTTCTACATCGTTAATTTCAATTGCAAAGGCATCTGAATCTAGCAAAACTACTGTTTGCGTTGTCATAAAACAATACAAGAGTTCTCTATCTATCAAACAAGCAAAAGGATCTGGATGAAAGAATAGCTTTAAGAATAAGAAAACCGTAATAAGTATTCGACGATCATTCACGCAAAACCCCGGCTAACAGAGTGCGAGCCAAAGGATATAAGGTTTCAGAATTTTTTAAAGATTAAAATTTGGCTAGCAATATGCAGTTGCGGTTTGAAATCTCGAGCTTTTGTCACATCGTCAATTTTAAACTTGGATGTTTACATCAAAGAATACTTGCAAGTTAGACTTTTAGAATTTTATTGAAGTCACGATGTCCCTAGTTGGTTCTGGCCTAATCTTGCTTCTTATCATTATTCTAAGAAGAGTGACATCAAACTCATACCAAAAAACTTGAATCCATCAATTTGCACACAATTCCGTCCCATTGAGAAGTTGATGTCGTTGATAAGCGTAAATGTTTGTTTATTTATTTGAAATAATAAAAATATTAAAGTAAAAAGCACTTTTATAATCTTCAAGTTCCTTAGATTAAAATAAATATATTTTTTAGTTTCTGCATTAGTTAAACTATTTTTCATTTTTTTTGAATTTTTTATCGTTTTTCAATTTAACGATCGCATGCTTTACCCAGTGGCATGGGACATATAAAAGAGGTCTTTTAAACGTCTTTGGAGTGTTTTCAAAGTCTTTTGAACGTTTTGGACGTCTTTTAAACGTTCAAAATACGTCTTTTTTAGGTCCCGTGCCCACTGGATACCCAGTGGGCACGGGACTCAGTGGGGGCATAATAAAAGACGTTTTTTAAACGTCTTTTGAACGTTTGAGATGTCTTTTGAACGTTTTGGACGTCTTTTTTAAGTACTGTGCCCCCTGGGTAGAATTAAAACTAAAATTTGAAACAAAAACTTTAGTTTTGGGTAAATAATATATAAAAAAAAGTGTTTATTTACCTAAAAAAATTTTTTTTTCAAATGTAATATCCTGTAGTAGTAATACAATAACCTTGTAATCATGAGAGTTGGTTAAAGTTTTTTGTAATTGATACAGTTTTGGGTTGGCAAATGTGATTAAAAAATAATTTTAAAGCTTGAAATTTTTGTTCATAAAGTAAAGGAGCCGGAGCCGAGCCGAGGTCGGGTATTTCTTAGGAGCCGGAGCCGAGCCGTCAAAAAAACAGTCGGCTCCACAAGCCTGCTACATAGAAAGCATATTATGAAACTTAATACTTGGTGGCAAGTCCTTGCTTTGACATACTATATATGCCTTTTGAGGTCAATGCTTTAACATCTGGATCTCAAAGCCATACTTCAATCAGTCATTCTGTGAGCTTCTGTTTACTTTAGATTTTGTTATATAATTTTTTTGATTTTTTTGTCATTTCTATCCCTTGCAGGGCTCAAATCAAGCGTATCGCGATCGCGAATCGCAATAATTTTTTACACCTTTGTCTGAGGTTTTAATTATCTCTGCGTGTGAAGTCAATAATATCCTTTTATTTTAAAGTTAAATTAAGTGTGATTTACTTAATGGATAGAATGCATCATAGTGAATTTACCAATAAACTAAATCAAAACAGCTGAGTTACTACAGTTACTCAACAAATAAATATATTTAATATGCTCATAGACATTTGCTTGCAAAGATTAGCCATACAAAACGTACCATTTTTTTAATATTTTTATTTTATTTATAGGGATATAGGAGTATTAGGAATGTTTTTTGGCATTTATTTTAAAAATAAATTTATTTGAACAAGAAAATTTGGTCTTCTAAAGTTCTCGTAATCAAATAATCTTGAATTTAAAAATAATTTTTTTTTTTAATTTAAAATAGTTTCAACGCTGGCTAAAAATAATTAAAATTAACTGAAAGGAAACTGTTGCGACGTCGTATTACCCAGTGGCATAGAGAGGATCATTACTGAAAATTAAGCATAGATCTAGTTACAGTAACAAGATCAGATTTAGAAGATAATGCAAGTGAGAAAGAAATTTTAATTAAAGCGTAAACATTTTAAATACTTAAACATTTTTGTAAAGGCGTCATTATTTTGTTTCTTGAAAATAATTTAAAAAGTAGAAACATTCTATTGCAAACATTAAACAAGTTTTTTTTTTTTTTTTAAATATATTTGCTAATTTATTTACTTAAGATTTAATATTTAGATTTACTTTAAGTTATATTTAAGTTATAATAAATAAATTTAGATTAACTTAGATTTACTTAAGTTAAATTTACTTAAGTTAAATTTAAACTAATTTAGATTTACTTAAGTTATAATAAATAAATAAAATTAACAAACAAGCTGTGATACACATTACAGTGTATAGAGTCTAACAACAGTAGATGTCAGACTGTAATAGCTTTTCACAGTTTTTCATATAATTGTCATAAAGGGTTTAGAATGTATTTAAGTTTTTCGCATCCACAACATCTTGTGGTAAACGGTTCCATTTGTCCACTATTTATTTAAAAAAAAATTATGTCGACCGTTTGTTTTTTTGCTTTGTTGTCTACATATTCTTTTATTGTGCCCTCTTGTAATTGAATTTTTTATAAATATTGAAGGATTGTACCAATTAATTACATCCAGGTTATTCATACACCTCACTATATGGGCTCTCTATTTTTTAATTTTAAAAGATTAATTCTATTTAATCTATTTTCGTATGATAAACCTTTTAAACTGTGGATACGAGTTGCTCTTTCTTGGACTTGTTCGATCATATTGATATGTTTTTGTAAATGTGGATTCCATAATGGTGATCCATATTCAAGATGTCTGACTAATAAAGTAAATAGTTATCTTATATTTCTTTCATTTAAATATTTAAAAGATTGTTTTATTAGGCCTAACTTTTGGTAAGCCTTATTGACTGTATAGTTAATGTGGTAATTTCAGTTAAGTAATTTGATACATATATGCCAAGATCTTTTTCTAAAGTTGTTTTTGTTAGTTTAGTGGCATTCGTTTTATTTTTGGAATTGTTAGGCATCAGGTACTCGTTTTTAGGATTATTTTTTCCTATATGCATAACCTTGCACTTGTCATTATTAAATTCTATCAACCAGTTTTTTCTCCATTGGACCATTTTATTTAGATCTAGTAAATCTTCTGTACTACTGTTATGATCTAGTATAGATATAAATGTTGTATCATCTGCATACAGTTTACATTCGTATTTTAAATTTGACATTATATCAATAATGTATAAAATAAATAATAATGGTCCAATTACTGATTCCTGAGGAACACTTTATAACCACTTCCAATTACTGATTCCTGAGGAACACCTTATAACTACTTATAACATTTGTCCATTCAGAAATATTTTCTCCAAGTAAAACTTGTTTTAACCGAGTTTTTAGAAAAGCTCTGCACCAGTTCAACAGGTCACCAATAATACCATATACAGTAATTTGTATAAAAAGCAATAAAAAAATGTGGCAAAATTGTTTTATATAAACGCAAGTTCTTTATATTGGCAAAACAACTTCGCAGTTTTGTTTTATTGTAAAACAATTTCATTATAAAAAGGTATTGAACTGTATTAAAGGTATTAAGTGTAAAAAATTTTATAAAAGTTTTATATAAAAAAATTATAATTATAAAAATTTTTTTTGCTTTTAAATTTTTTTGCGTTTATTCGAGCCCTGACTTCTTATTCTTTTTCAGCCACA